TTGATGGCGTTTAGTAAGACGATTAAGAGCTACACTACATCGAGTTCTTGACGGTCTCTTAATCGTCTTAAACAAGCGCCTTTACCAACTTTCCGGCGCAATTTTTCACAACATATAATTTCATCCGCCTTTTGTAAATGAGATCAATAGTCCTTTGTCGTAAAAAGGCAAAGGGGCCCAGAATAAGCCTTACTAAGGCCGGTCAAGGCCACGGCATTACATCAATACCAACACCACATAAGGAACGCGCCTGGACTGAACCTGAAATATGGACTAAGATATGAACGAAATGAGTGGTGCCTGACCAAAAGGGGTTTAATTAATTTCATATATTTGAATGTTTTAATATTAATATAACTGTAATTTTTTTTTCTGGTTTGTAATGTAGGTGATAGTGACGTGAGGTGCGTAAGTGACGCTTCACTTACGTCGCTAGGTCAGTGTAAAAAACGATTTCTTTTAATGCGTATATGAAATAATGGACGACTAGGTCTAACAATGATGTATTAATATTGTTATTCTTAAGCCGAGTTATTAAACTGTGTGCGTAATCAATCATTTCATAAGATTAAGCTGGAGATTACAAATACAGGAAATGTGAGTTTTCGTTTTCTGCTTAGTCCACTAGCTGATATATAAAGCTCGGAATTATATGCAGAAAAAAACTTTCGATTTCTGTTTTTAGTTTTCGATTACTCAATTTTCGATATTCAGTAGTGGAATTTTACAATTTTTTGATTTTTCATTTTCTCGATTCTTCAAGTTTACGATTTCTCGATTTTATTTATTTTTCGATTTCTTAATTTTCCGATGTTTCAGTTTTTCTCTTCTTCAGTTTTATGATTTTTTATATATTTCAATTTTTCAATTACCTGATGTTTTGATTTTCCCATTTCTTGACTTTCGAATGTTTCGATTTTTTAGTTTTTTAATTCTTTAATATTTCGATTTTGCAGGTTTTGATTTTTCTATTTTTATGTTTTTCAAGGTTTTTCAATTTTTGGAAGTTTCAGTTTTGGGATTTTTCAGTTCATTTATTATTATTCAATTTTTCGATTTTACAATTTCTCAATTTCTTAATTTTTCTCCTCTTCACTTTAACGATTTTTAAATAATTGGTTTTGGCACAATTGTTCAAATTTGACTTTTATAAACTCTTGTTCTATTTTCATTTCTTCAGTTCTCCAATTTGTAAGTTTTTAGGTTTATGATTTTTCAATTTTTCAATTTTTTAAGGTTTTGGTTTTTTGAATTCACTTTTTTGTCTTTTTGCTTTATCAATTTTTCAATTTTTTAATTTCTCAGTTTTTGGATATTTCAATTTTGAGATTTCTCAGTTTTTCCTTTTTCACTTTTTCTTTCATTTTTCAAGTTTTCGAAATTTCAGGTTTGGGATTTTTCAGAGCATTTATTATTCAATTTTTCGATTTTACGATTTCTCAATTTTTCAATATCTCGATTTTCAATTTCTTGATTTCTCAATTTTTCGATTTCTCAATTTTCCTATGTTTCAGTTTTACGTTTTTTTAATTTTTCAGTTTTTCAATTTTTCAATTTTTAACTTTTCCAAATTCTCAATTTCTCGATTTTTCAATTAATCGATGTTTTGATTTTCCCATTTGTTGACTTTCGACTGTTTCGATTTTCCAGTTCTTCATTTCTTCAATTTTCTTATTTTACAGGTTTATGATTTTTCAATTTTTTGTTTTTTTTTAGGTTTCGATTTTTCGATTTCACTTTTTTGATTTTTCGATTTCCCAATTTTTCAAATTTTTAGATTCTCAATTTTGGGATTTTCTTTTTTCCATTCTTCAGTTGCCGATATTTTAATTTTGGAATTTTTCAATATTTCGATTGGTTGACTTTTCGATTTTTGACTTTTGGATTTTTCCATGTGCCGATTTTTACATTTCGATGCTTAAATTTTTTGAAATTTTAAAGTTTTACATATTTCGATTTCTCGATTTTTCATTTCAGTTCTTCGATATTTCAATTTTTCAAGTTTTCGAATTTTTCAAATGTTTTGATTTCTTAATCTTCGGATGTTTCGACTTCCCGGTTTTAGATTTTCTGTTTTTCAAAATTTTTCGTTTTTTCATATTTTGCAGGTTTTTGATTTTTCAAGCTTTCGATTTTTCGACTTCATATTTTTCATTTTTCCGTTTCTCAATTTTTCAATTTTTAAAATGTTTACTTTTTAGATATTTCAGCTTTGGGATTTTTCAGTTTTTCTTTCATTTTTCAATTCTTGGAAATTTCAGTTTTGGGATTTTTCAGTTTATTTATTACTTTCTCAACTTTCCAATTGTTCTCTTCAGTTTTACGCTTTTTAAATATTTCGTTTTTGCTATTTTTCAAATTTGACTTTTATAAACTCTTAGGTTTTCCATTTTTTATTTCTTCAATTTTTCAATTTTTAAGATTTTTAGGTTTATGATTTTTCAATTTTTCAATTTTTTAAGGTTTTGATTTTTCGAATTCACTTTTTGACTTTTTGATTTCTCAATTTTTCAGTTTTTTAGCTTCTCAGTTTTTGGATATTTCGATTTTCAGTTGTTCTTTCACTTTTTAATTTTTCTAAATTTCAGTTTTGGGATTTTTCAGATTATGTATTATTCGATTTTTCGATTTTACACTTTCTCATTTTTTCAATTTTTCGATTTCTCAATTTTCCGATGTTTCAGCTTTACGTTTTTCAATTTTTCTCTTCATTTTTACGATTTTTAAATATTTCAGTTTTTCAATTTTTGACTTTTCTAAATTCTCGACTTTTAGATTTTTTAAGGTTTCGATTTTTCGACTTCACTTTTTTGATTTTTCGATTTCTCAGTTTTTCAGTTTTTTACATTCTCAGTTTTGGGATTTTTCAGTTTTTCCAATCTTCAGTTTTTCTTTCATTTTTCAGTTTTTCGATATTTTAGTTTTGGGATATTTCAATATTTCGATTAGTCGAGTTTTCGATTTTTGACTTGTGTCTATTTTTTTACTTTTCCGATTTTTCAATTTTTAAAATTTTAGATTTTTCGATTTCTCAATTTTTCATTTAACTTCTTCGATAATTCAATTTTTCAAGTTTGACTTTTACAAACTCCCAATTTTTCGATTTTTCGATTAATTAGTGTTTTGATTTTTCCATTTCTTGACTTTCGAGTTTTCGATTTTCCTGTTCTTCAATTTTTCAATTTTTCTAGTTTTCGATTTTTTTAAGGTTTCGATTTTTGGACTTCACTTTTTTGATTTTTCGATTTCTCAAATTTTCAGTTTTTTAGATTCTCAGTTTTTGGATATTTCAGTTTTTCGATTCTTCAGTTTTGCTTTCATGTTTCAGTTTTTCAATATTTCAGTTTTGTAATTTTTCGATATTTCGATTCTTCAACTTTTCGATTTTTGACTAGTGGATTTTTCGATGTGTCGATGTTTTAACTTTTTCAATTTTTGAATTTGTCGATTTTAAAAATTTTAGATTTTTCAATTTTTTGATAATTTAATATTTCAGTTTTTATTTAAAATTTTAGATTTTTCAATTTCTCGATTTTTCATTTCAATTCTTTGATATTTCAATTTCTCGAATTTTTAAAATCTTCGACTTTTCGACTTCCCGGTTTTCGATTTTCTGTATTTCAATTTTTCGTTTTTTCGAATATTCGATTTTTTAATTTTTCATCTTTTAAATTTTCATTTTGTTCAATGTTTTGATTTCCCGGTTTATCGAAATTTGAATGTTTCGATATTTTGATTGTGTATCAGTTTTTCCATTTATAATTTTTCGATTTTTTATTTTGGCCTAATTCGGTTTCCCAGTTTTTCCATTTTTCCTTTTTTCGTTCTTTTACTTTTACGCTTTTAGATTTTTCGGTTTTCCAATTTTTCAACTTTTAACTTTTCGTTTTTTCGATTTTGGCCTATTTCGGTTTCTCAATTTTTCAACTTTTCGACTTTTCAATTTCTCGATCTTTTAATTTTTCGATTTCTCGATTTTCGATTTTCCAGTTTTTCCATCTTTCAATTTTTCAATTATTCAGTTTTTTAAATTTTGGAGTTTCGATTTCTGGATTTCTCTTTTTTCGGTTTTTAAATTTTAGATTTTTGAAATTTTTATTTTTTACATTTTTTTGATGTTTCGATTTTTCGATTTTCAATTCTTCGATATTTCTATTGTTCAATTTTTCAATTTTTTACAATTTAAATTTTTCGAAATTTAAATTTTTCGGTTTTACGATTTTTTTATGTTTTGATTTCTTGACATCTTGGTTTTTCGATTTTTAAAATTTTTTGATTTTTCACGCTTTCGATCGAAAATAACCACAAAATTTATCACTGAAACACTTAAAAATTCATACAAAGTAGATAACAATGTTTCTAAATTATAAAAATTACGACATTTTCCCCCCGAAAAAAATCCACTGGATTATTACGACTTCAACAATCTTGTTAATTGAAGACGTTTTGCTGGTATAAAACACAATTAAAGAATTAATTCTTAGTTAAACAAAAAAATAGTTACATGACAAAATCGAGTGAAACATGTGACATGTGTTATATATTTGTAAACAAAACCATCTAGATATATACCAAAAATGTTCACTAATTCGTTATAAAATCTAACCAAACAAATATTTCCCGCAGAAATTATAGTCCAAACCAACCAAATCGCTTCTGAACGCTTATAGAGTCGACACTGGCCTGAGCGCGCTTTGGTCTGTAGATCAAACAAGTTCTCTGGCGACGAAATATGCAGAATATGCAAAAATATGCATTTTGCATATTATCCGAGCCTTAGTAACCAATCATTTCATAAGATTAAAGTGAAGATTACGAATACTGGAAATGTTGTGATTTTTAGTTTTCTACTTAGTCCACTGGCTGATATAGTAGACAGATCATACTCGTAGAAGTAGGGAAAAACAAAAAAGTAGTCAATTCGGCCGTTTTTGTTTTATTATTATTCAATAATTAATATTACATGTTTTAGCATATATACTTTTCTACCTTGAGTTAACTCAAAAAACAGGATAAGTGGCGTAGCTGGCAATCCCACAATGGTTGTTACGATTCCGCGCCATCTTAATGTACCCACCCAGCCCCCATTTCGGACCCCACGAATTCTTCACCAACCAATAATCTTGTCCATTTTCGTTACCATATCCAACAATCAAAACCGCATGTGTGAAAGTAGTCGTGGTACATGAAGGGTTGTAGTAAACACCACCACTATAACTAGAAAAAGGACCACGAGCATCTATGACGACAGAAACAGGTCCTTGAGTTGCAACCATATCCTTAATCATGTCTTCATTAGGTTCAGTCAAGTACGCATACCCTCTGATACTGACTTTCAATTTATCAGAGTTATATCGACAAGAGACAACTTTGCCTTGATAGGGATAATCCCGATCATAGTTAATTCCTCCATTTTTTTCAATATACCTATAGGCACCTGTTACCCATCCTGCCGTACAACCCCCACCTTCCGGAATACAATCCACCAGTTGCTGTTCGCTCATAGTAACCGTAGAACCATACTGAATTTTGTAATGGGATTCGAGTGCAGCGATCTGGAACAAATATTTGATTTTCTTTGCATTTAACTTGAAGTACTTACGGTCGAAAACGCCCAGCAGGAACCACAACCTCCTTGGTGTTTAACGGGCGTTACCATGCCACTGTCACGCCAGTCGAAAGACGCCGGTAGCCCTATTCTCGTTGCAAAAGATCCATTAGTTTCAATCCGAATCAAAGGCTCTGGTTCTTCCAATGGCACTTCTAACCCGTAAGTGTACACCATCAGTTCTTCTTCTGTGTAATCGGCAAATTGGTTGATGCCCATTTTGTAGGTTTCTAAACCCTTTCTGTACCTTTCGTTGTGATCTTCTATTTCTTGTATCTTCTTATTGAAAATTGTTTTTCTGAAGCGTTCTTCTCTCGGGTTGTCGAAACATCCCGTGTTTGATTGCTTCAAAAATGTTATTTGTTAATAGTTTTTGACTTTTTTGGAAATTTACCTTAAATTTGTTCCATCTTTCGTTAACAATAGATTTGGACACAATGGCTTGGGACGTGTGAAAAGTCACGAGTAGAATTATAAGGATCTTCATTTTGGTTGTTCTTGTTGGTTTTGATACACACTTCAGAAAATCGTTTCTTTTTATCTCATTTTGCGACAAGGCGTATGTGATGATTCTTGTTTGGTTATTCGTATTTATAAAATAATTCTGACATTTTGGATTAATGTTGTAATAATAGTTTTAATCTAGTTTAAACATTTAAATAACGGCATATTTTATGTGATTATTATTATTATTTGTGGAACTTGACACATTCCAAGAGAAGATAATTAACGATCTTATATCATTGGAAAAATATTTAGAATACGTGAAAAGATAATTTTAGTTTCTGTAGTATAATAGTTAATTCTTTAATTATTGTTTCTACTCGTTTGTTTAATTAGTTATCTATTTGCTTGTCAAGTTTTTACGGATTATGTTGTGGATTTGAAATTACTTTTTAAATATATCTGCCACCGAATCTCGGCAACCTCTAGTATTATTTTTTTTTCTAAAATGTAAAATAATCTCTGGGTCCCCAGTGTACTTTAGAGAAATTGAAAATCTGGGGGGTCCGGGGGAGTAGTGTCTTTACCTAAAATGTGAAAGAATTTCATGGTGCTCTAGTGTCTTTTTTCTTCAGAGAAGTTGAAAGAATCTCGGAGGACCCTAGTGTTTCTTCCCTACAATGTGTCATATTCTCGGGATCTCTGAATATTTTTTCTTATAGAGAAGCTTTTAAAGGATCTAGGGGTACTCTAGTGTTTTTTTAAGAAACTGAAAAAATCTCAAGGGCATCTAGTGTTATTTTTCTAAAATACGAACGAATCTCAGAGTCCTCCAGCATCTTTTTTTAGAGAAGTTGAAGAATACTTCGGGCGCCTTAGTGTTTTATCCGTAAAATGTGAAAGAATCTCGAGATCCGCTATTGTCTTATTTCTTAGAGAAGTTGAAAGTATCTCAGGGGCATTTTGTCCCTAAAATGTGAAAGAATCTTAGGGTCCCTTAGTATCTTTTTTTAGAGGAGTTGAAAAAATCTCGGGGCGCCCTAGTGTGTTTTTTCTAAAATATGACAGAATCTCGGGGTCCCCTAGTGACCTTTTTTTTAGAGAAGTTGAAAAAATGTCGGGGCGCCTAGTGTTGTTTCTCAAAAATGTGAAAGAATCTTGAGGTCTCCTAGTATATTCTTTTTGAGAGAAGTTAAACGAATCTCGGAGGACCCTAGTCTTTTTCCCTAAAATGTGTCATATTCTCGGGGTCTCTGAATGTTTTTTTTTTATTGAGAAAATTTTAAAGGTTCTAGAGGTACACTCGTGTTTTTTAAGAAACTGAAAAAATCTCAAGGGTCTCTAGTGTTATTTTTTCTAAATTAAGAAAGAATCTTGGGGTCCCCTTATTTCTTTTTTTAAGAGCAGTTGAAGAAATCTCTGGGCGCCTTAGTGTTTTTCCCTAGATTGTGACAGAATCTCGAGGTCCCCTAGTGTCTTATCTTTTGGAGAAGTTGAAAGTATCTCAGGAGCATTTTGTTCCTAAAATGTGAAAGCATCTGGGGGTCCCCTAGTACCTTATTTTTACAGAAATTTAAAGAATCTCGGGGGACCCTAGTCTTTTTACCTAAAATGTGTCATATTCTCGGGGTCTCCGAATGTTTTTTTTTTGTAGAGAAGTTTTTAAAAGACCTAGGGGTACCCTAGTGTTTTTTAAGAAACTGAAAAAATCTCAAGGCCTCAAGTGTTATTTTTCTAAAATACGAAAGAATCTCGGGGTCCCCAGTATCTTTTTTTAGAGAAGTTGAAGAAATCTTTGGGCGCCTTAGTGTTTTTTCCCTAAAATGTGAAAGAATCTCGAGGCCCCCTGGTGTCTTACCTCTTAGAGAATTTGAAAGGCATTTTGTCCCTAAAATGTGAAGGAGTTTCGGGGTTCCCTGGTGTCTTTTTTTTTAGAAAAGTTGAAAGAATCTCGGGGGCATTCTAACGTTTTTTCCTTAAAATATGAAAGAATCTCAGGGTCCCCTAGTATCTTACTTTTACAGAAGTTGAAAGAATCTCGGGGGACCCTAGTCTTTTTCCCTAAAATGTGTCATATTCTTGGGGTCTCTGAATGTTTTTTTTATAGAGAAGCTGTTAAAGGATCTAGGGGTACCCTAGTAATTTTTTAAGAAACTGATCGAAGAAATCTCAAGGGCCTCTAGTGTTATTTTTTCTAAAATACGAAAGAACCTTGGGGTTCCCTAATATCTCCTTTTTAGAGCAGTTGAAGATATCTCTGGGCGCCTTAGTATTTTTCCCTAAAATGTGAAAGAATCTCGAGGACCCATGGTGTCTTATCTCTTAGAGAATTTGAAAGGCATTTTGTCCCTAAAATGTGAAAGAGTTTCGAGATTCCCTGGTGTCTTTTTTTTAGAGAAGTTGAAAGAATCTCGGGGGCAGTCTAACGTTTTTCCCCTAAAATGCGAAAGAATCTCGGGGTCCCCTAATGTCTTACTTTTTAGAAAAAAGGAAAGTATCTCGGGGACATTCTAACGTTTTTTCACTAAAATGCGAAAGAATCTGGAGGTCCCCTAGCGTATTTTTTTGCTAGAGAAGTTGAAAGAATCTCGGGGGACCCTAGTCTTTTTCCCTAAAATGTGTCATATTCTCGGGGTCTCTGAATGTTTTTTTATAGAGAAGCTTTTAAAGGATCTAGGGGTACCCTAGCGATTTTTTAAGAAACTGAAAAATCTCAAAGGCCTCTAGTGTTATTTTTTCTAAAATACGAAAGAATCTTGGGGTTGTCTAATATCTTTTTTTAGAGCAGTTGAAGAAATCTCTGGGCGCCTTAGTGTTTTTCCCTAGAATGTGAAAGAATATCGAGGTTCCCTAGTGTCTTATCTCTTAGAGAAGTTGAAAGTATCTTAAAGGCATTTTGTCCCTAAAATGTGAAAGAGTCTCGGGGTCCCCTAGTGTCTTTTTTTTAGAGAAGTTGAAAGAACCTCGGGGGAATTCTAACGTTTTTTCCCTGAAATGAAAAGAATCTCGGGGTCCCCTAGTGCTTTATTTTTTAGAGAAGTTCCAAGTATTTCGGGGTGGTTTTAACATTTTTTCCCTAAAATATGAAAGAATCTCGGGGTCCCCTAGTGTATTTTTTTTAGAGACGTTGAAAAAATCTCCGGGTGCCTTAGTGTTTTTCCCTAAAATGTGAAAGAATTTCGAGGTCCCCTACTGTGTTATTGTTTAGGGAAGTATCTCGGGGTAGTTCTAACATTTTTTCCTTAAAATGTTAGAGAATCTCGGGGTCCCCTAGTGTCTTATTTTTTAGAGAAGTTGAAAGAATGTCGGAGGCATTCTAAAGTTTTTTTCCTAAAATTCAGAAAAATCCTCTCTGATGCCCTGTAATCTGTTATCTATAATAGTCTCCTAACATGATATGTACAAAAATTGAAATATTAGGTACTATGTTCGAATAATTGTATTCTTTTGTTTGTTTATTTATTTAAGTAAATCCCATTTAACCAAACCAGTTTTTTTAATCTGTGTATCAGAATTATGAATAATTTTTGTCAATCAAACAAACCTAGTTTTAAAAAAAAAAAAAAAAAAATAGATGATAACAGTCAAGTGCAAGAAAAAAAAGTGGGCCACGGGGAAATCCAACCCGCCACCTTCGCTTTATTAGTACGACGCTAGATAAAATGTTTTCATACAATTTTGAATGAAAGATAAAACACTGAGATGGATTCATAAACCACAATTAGAGGCGTGTGTTATTTAATAATGTAAATAGCATTTACCATGCGAAAGCTTGAGGTGATAGCTTTTACCATTTACACGATATTCCAAAAATACATATAAAATTTGCCAACAAGCAGTTCAGTGGTTTCGGAGATTATCTACCTAATAAAATCGCTGACTGATGCAAGCCAAACGGACGACATACCACAGACAGATAGAAACCGCAAACCTGCATTACGTATTCTACGACATGTGAGGGACACATAAAATTGGACCTTCGTCAAAGTGAGCTCATTATAATACTCCTCTGGGCTATCGCTCCGGAAAAAAACGAATTATATTGTTGTACATTTTAGTATTATAAAATACCTTCTTTTAAAACATTTCTGCTAAAAGAAGGACAGTTGATGCATTTCAATAAATGAAACGGACTAAAATAATATTTTGCTTAACATGTAAATTTAGCTTTGTTGCTTAGCGTTCTACCGTTGATACGACTTACTTAAAATTCTTTTAAAATTTCACTAAAATCGGTTTTGTAGTTTCGGAGATTTTCTGTCTAGGAAAATCGTCGACAATCTGACACCAATTTTCGGTTAATTGAATCAATTTTAACCCATCACGAAGTAATTAATACAGGAGGAGAACTCAAAAAGAAAGTTGTAGGAGGGCTTGGGGTATTTAATACATCAAAGCTGCGCAAGGAATATGTGCTTAGGGGTGCAGAACATTCAGATTTTAGAACAAAATAGGCAGAGAAAAGTAAAATAATTGGAAAAAAAAATATCCTTATACAACTTTCACGCTTTTTATATCATAACATAGCAACTATGAAACGTCGGGAAAACATGAAACTAGTCATTTGCTAAATGGGCCCTATTACAATGCTTCCCTAACTTGGAGAGTAAAACAAGGTGTTAAACTGGAAGAGGGGAAAAGTTTCGAACTTAGTAGGGTCAAAGGAAAGATTTTGAAATTAAATTAATGTTAGGAATTCTTCTGTTAATTGAAACTTTGTTCTTTTTTTTTTGTTCTCTCTTGCTTTTTCTTTATTTTATATAACTAAAAACTAAACAAAACGGCAAACTTGACGTTTTGTAAATGACAATCCAGGTTTATAAAGCGGCATTTCCTGTTCGTTCCTCGCCGCCTTTGACACCTGTTTAATTCCATCGCCGTGCGAAGCCGTAAAGACTCTTTCAGCAAATTTTTGCTGCATTAGCGTTTCCCTCGTCCCCAGCTTTTATCTTCCAGCCACGTCTGAAGTTGCCTGTTTTCCCCAAAATCTGTGAAATCCCCAAATAAAGGAGTAAGTCATCCGCTTTAAGTCTCAAGTTTTCG